TATATATATATATATATATATATATATATATATATATAAAGGGATTCTCCCTCGGGAGTAGATACCAATTCACACCCTCATATAATTTTATAGTATCAGAGGCAAAGGAACCACAATCAGACAACATTGATGACCTTGTGACTTTATTGTGGCAAGTTTAGGCATGATGTATATCTATGATCCACCTTCAAGAGTGTTTCTTGTAATCTATGCTTCTTTACTTGTCTAGGTTCATTAGGTGGTCTTTACATTAAATTAGCACTATAATCTAGTCCCCATGAGCCCACTATGTACTCATTATTTTTATATTAAGACCCCCCTCAGTAATGTCTGCATATTAAAAGATTTGACAAACCAAAAGCAAACAAAAGGAAGAAGATTTTTTTACAGCCTAACTGTTAGTTACTCGAGCAACAATTTATGTCTCACATACTTCTCATATTTGGATGCACAAAGCACTTGTTGATTAATTAGCCACATCAAGTCACAACACAAGGGTTTCATGATTATTTGTCTCCGATATTTAAAAGATCATTACCTGATAGGGTTAAAAAATTACATTAAATGGTATGATCTTTTTCAAAGAAGTTCAAATCTTTGGTGTGAAATTAAGAGTTCATTTTATTACAAGATTTAGACAAAGAATAAACCTGTTAAACCTAGCCACAATGAGGAAAAATAAGAAACAGCAAGAAACTTCAGTCGTGAATCTGATATACCGAAAAGCAATTTCTTACTGATTCAAAAGGATATATAAACTCACTTCTGTACCTTCTATGCTGATAGCCGATACGAGTATAAAGAGCACACCAAAGAAACTGAAAGCAATACCTGAAAAGCAGATATCCGTCAAGAAAAAACAAGAGGATATGCTATAAATACAAAGAATTATGGAAGTGTTTCAGATCGGGTAACAGGTCACAAGTTTGTTGCACGAATTTACAAAAAGTATAGACTCCTAGTAACATATACATATGAGAGTGCTGCAAGTATTATGTAGTCATTTCAGAAACTAGAAGCAGCACCCTGACTCATGTGATAAGAAAAACAGACCTTTAAGAACCCATAAAAGATTTCCTACCATTAAGCCAATCATCAAAGTGAACTAACAGGTAAGGAGCACGTTGAAAGAAAGAACTGCTAATCTACAGCATGGATTTGATCATGCTTGATGTTATCAAGGATCCTATATGGAAAGCTACTGACAGCCATTGTAGAGTTTCAGACTGAGGGAGCCTGTTTGTTAGCAGCTTAATGAGCTTAATAGGACTCACAACTTAGTCGGTCAACCATACATGACTGTTTGGTAGTGGCTCAATGATATAGAAAGTGGCTTATTCAGTAAGCTTTGGGGGGAGAGCTTTATGCAGAAAGCCAAGTTTTTTTTTCCAAACCTGCATCTCCCAATTAGATAACATGCTCCTTCCATCTATGAAAAAACCATCCCAAACAAAAACCTTCCCAATCTATAGACAAATTAATCCACACAGGCAACTTTATCCATACAGGACTTAATGGAAAATCAACCAAACAACCCCCGAGTAAGAGATAACAAGCTTGTTGCATAATTTTCAGGAAATATAAATTATATAAATGAAGATGCTGTAAGTAGTTGTTTCAGCAATTAAAAACATCACCCACCTCATTTATTTCTTCTAGGTTTACTATGCGACTTATCTAAAATTACCCCACAGGAGATCAAAGATATACCAAATATACAGAACTGTTTGATGTACGTATTGAATGTTATACACAATAAAAATGTTTCGCCAATATGATTGTTATTGTACCTGCAATTTCTGCTATTTTCAAATTCTCATGTAAAATGAATCGTGCTGCAACTGAGGCCATTATTGGAGTTGTGAAGCTTAATATCATAGCTTGAGACAGAGGTAATATCTGAATACTGCAAAAAAAGTTTTGTCCAAATATTAAGAGGGAAAATTGCACTTATGGATGAATGCTGAAACCAGCTTCAAATAATTTAGGCAACAGCAATACAAAATAAAATATGAAAATCTCAATGAACACCTTAACATATGAAAATAAAAGGTACTGAAAATAACCAAGTTCTGATTATCCTTGATAAGAGTTACAAGAATATTAATACATAGAGGGGCGGGAATCACAAAAGTTCGATTTCATAAAAGGTATATTTGTGCTTTATTCTTAATTTTCTATTAGTTTATAGTTAAAGTGTAATTATTTATTTTGCCATATGTACCTGAGATACAAAGACAAACAGCTTACTGTCAATAAATCATGGCATATCGGTCATACATATGCTTTTATAAAGTTTACCATACTTAAGCAGCTATACCCTCATATGACCTCTCAGAATTCAATCAGCGATGCCCAATTAACCACATAAGTAAAAGTCTGGTTTAATTTACCAAAATCATGATAACATAAATGGGTTAAGATAAGCAAATATGATGCCATCACAAAGAAGAACACGGTGAGCATACAAATGTAGTAATTTTACCACATGCATGTAGAATTCAGCTTTGAAGTGAATTCTAGATGCTAAAAGATACAAATAATCTGACAAAACAGCATGGACCCATGTACAAGAAGACAAATTGGTAATAGGAGGATCCATTCAAGAAGAAGGTTACACAAGGGAATATCTCTGAAAATAACCATAATACTTGCTAAAGTAGTAGTAGCAATGAACAATTTAGCGGGGAGGGAGGGGATGGGGGTTGAGGTTTCAAACTACAGATGGTGCAGGAGGAAGACTTACCAGTAGATGAAAGTTAACAAAGATATACATCCAGTAATAGCCCTTGATACTAAAAGATTCCTGACATTTGCAGGTCCAAATATTGGTTCTCCACTTCTTCGTAACCACATGAACGATAATACTGTGATAATTACACATCTTGTAAATGCTATCTCAAAAAGAGGAATTGCTTGAGCTGTCATCACAAAAACAAGACAGATCAACTGGGGGCCAAACTAGCAACTACAGTAAATAGGTTCATACACTATATCGATGTAAAAGATCACAAACCCAATGCCTGTGCACACAACTTATAGATCAAATAAGAAGGTTACATAATTAGATAATTAAACTGGTTTTGGAAAATGGCTGAATGGAAACTTTGAAGATCTTTTGCATCTTCCTGTTTACTACACATAGTGGCGAGAGGCCTTAGCACAAGGTTATCAAGATATTACCATGGTGTTGAGAGCCCTTTTACATCAAAATGAATGTTCTGTTTTGAAATATATCAATATGCATGAAATTTTCTTTTGAGATTTTTCTCTAGCGATACTCATTTGATGCTATCAGGCACCTCTCAGCCCATGGAATACTTGAGCAATCAAATAAATAGCACATGTAAGTTGTTTAATTTAATGAAGTTGGTTACCTCAGTAACTGAGTATACAGATGTGCACAGAAGGATCTTTCAGAAATAAACAAAGAAAGTGAGAAACAGATTCCCCAAAAAAATTCCAAAATGGAGACCCAAAAGTCAAAATCTCCAAAAAGTTACATTCATCTCCGACAGATTCTCCGTTTTGTAGAATCCAATATTGATTATAATATTAAAATATTTCATTCATCTATTAAAATATTAATTCTCTATAAATATTTATTTTCAAAATTTCCCATGGTCGAAATATATTTATCTCCCACATGATAATCATTTTTGGGTGTTCTTCATATTTTGAGAAGAAAAACCCTTCTCTTTTCCTAGTTTCTCCGTTTTGGAGATAGTTTTAGGGAATTTGTTAGATTTTTCCCCATTTTCTCCATTTTGGAGAATCTGTTGTAGATGCTCTAAAACAGCTTGGCATTCACTTTTTTATTGTAGATTGTAGATAACTACAATAACATACATATTTATTCTAGTGATTTATTGAAAGCCATTGTTCCATTACAGAAAGAAACTACTAACCAGAGCAAACATCCAGCAGAACTTCCATGATACAGTAGATAGAAGATGACAATGCCATGCATAGCAAACCCGAATACCTAGATCCACTCCATACCCACATAATAAACTGTGTAAATGCTGACGTTTCTGTTTCAATTAATCTAGCAATTTGGTCCTGCAACAGCCACAAATGCTAATTGCTAAATTAAGCTATCAAGAAACACTAAAACAAATCGATTTCCTATACAGAACTGACGCGAATAGCTAGAGAAACGAGTAACAAACTCCAATTTCTATAATACCTTGTTGGCTTTTCGCCTAGGGTAAGAAACAGAAAAGATATTGATTTTGGGCTTATCCAATTGCGATAAAAGAGGGATTATCTGGTCCTCCGAAGCTGAATCGGAACCTTCCGTGGACGTCACTAATTCCACCACATGAGAGCGATCTCGTTCTTCTCCTCCTCCGCCATCAATACCGGTGAAATCCATCTTTTTTACATGCGAGAGAAACCCTAGCTCTTCACAGAATTGATCGACTTAGGTCAATAAACGAGCAACAAGGGTGCAAACAAGTTCTAGAGAAGATCGATGAAGGCCAGAGATGGTCCTAATTTACAGGGAAAGAAGAAGAAGACGACGACATAGAGGATAATTACTCTGATTGGTGAAAAGAGACTGACATGCCAACGGTCAACCGAGCTGAGCTGGCAGCCTATATGGGTCCCACATCCTTGTTGGCATATTCTGAGAGGTGTCACCAACTCACCGTGATACATGTGTTTTGTGCCTAAATTTTTGCTTGGTTATTATTTCCAGACCAAAATTTGTTTTTCTTTCTAATTTTATCATATTTTTTAATAAAACAAAATAATCTTTAAATTTTATCAATAAATTTATATAATATTTCTTAAATGTATAAACTCTGGATTAATATATATATATAACATATAGGGGAAGGTTCATTTAAGAAGCGGTAAATATTTGAGAAAAAAGGAAATGATCATACCTTTTATCTGGTCAATTTTTGCGACTTTGACCGTGAAGCACCGAATAATTCCTCGTATGAGTATGCTAAAGATAAAGAGATAGTTTTGTAACTTTTTATAAATAGACAACAAATGGGTTCATAGGTGAATCCATGTGATACATATATAAACTATATGTTCATATGTGAACTTGTTAATTGGTTCATATATGAATCACACAAGTTCATATAGGGGTGAGCAAAGACGGATACCTGGCCAAAATTTATGGAATCGGTCCGGTTCGATGGATCCTAGAATGAAGGAACCATAAATGGAACCGAAACCGGTTACACCAGTTCTTTATATTTGGGAACCGGTTTTGATGCCGTGTACCTAGTGTCTAATTTTCTTAATTTATTTTTATCATTTTATGCTATAAAAAAGTAATTATTAGTCTGTTAGAAAGTATCAACGTAAAGGAAACATTACGAATGAACAAAAAAACCCTACTAAATCAAACCCATGGTACCTATGAACAAAAAAACCCTACTGTATCCAATAAGTGTAGAAATCGAATCGAAGGAAAGACTATGAAACCATGTTTTGTTAGGAGGAGAGATCTAGTGTAACAGTAATAAGTGACTAAGTGTAACCCTAAAAGGTAAATTAATAATTTTAATTTTAGTTTATTAAATATAATAAACATATAAAATAATTTTTATTAAAAAAATAGCGGGTACCTGTCTGTTCCGGTTACCCGGTCCCGGAACTGGTTCCAACGGGCATGCACATGTGCATAAAAGTAAGTTGTAAGCAATTTGTTCGACATGCACATGTACATAAAAACAAAAAAAAAAGTTCCAATTATTTGTATGCATATAATGCATATTGTTCAAATAAACGGTTACCAGGATGTTTCTCAGTTTTACATTTTTTGGGAGTTTCCCTGAATCTCCCTCTTTGTATGCACAAATAAATGGTGTTAACTTTGTGACTCGTTGGACCAAAATGATTACTTCATATGTTAGTTAGTGAGTACGGATATTCAGGTAATTTTCGTTTGTAAGTTATTTCATTGTATTAAATGGAATGTAAAAAAACACAACTGCTTATTTTTATGGATGATAATTGTATCATCATTTTCTAATGATCACGTTCAAATTATTGATGGATAATCAAAATGAACAAACTACCATTCAACATACTGATTCGGGTGATTTTTTTTGTTTACGGTGTTTTAAATGGTATGTTCATTAGTGAACCATATTCACATGATGTTCATGTATGAACCAGAGGCAGTAATGCACAAATAACCGGTCAAATGTTCATTAGTGAACACATTTTTCATAACTACCGACTTTTTAGAAACTTCTTACTTTTATTATTATTTTGTGGGTAAATTGTATAAAAAAGTAATATACTTTAACTTGATTCTTATTTTGGTAACGTAATTTTAAAACTTTCATTTTGATATCTAACATGTAAAGTTTTAAACATTTAAGTACCCAAGTAACCGGTTGATGACTAATTTTAGATTTAAAATAAAACTAATTTTAGATTAAAAAAATTCATGTCACCAACCACGTCAGCAAATAATACCAAGTTGGATATCACATCACTCGTTACATCAGCATGATAACCGATTAATGCTTCAACCGATTACCCGAGGTACTTAAATCTTTAAAATTTTACATCTTAGATAGCAAAATAAAAGTTTTGAAAATACGTTACCCAAAAATAGGAATCAAATAAATACATTATTTTTTTCATACAATTGATATATGTTAATTGTATACGTTTACTACCACAAACAATAATAAAAGTTCATACGTATTTATTTTCTGAATAGAAAAATACAATATTAATTTAACTAGACAATGTAGTTTAATAATTATTAGTTATTCAAATAGTTTAATAAAATTACAATCAACTCAAATACCTTCCACAATTCTTTTATCTGCCTACCTCACTCTCGCCAACCGTCAGCATACCAAACACACTCTGAGTGAACATTTACTAACAAAGGCCTTGCAGGACCTATAGAACAAGCTTTGTTGCGTATGTATATCTATAATTTGTTTTGAGAATCCATGAAATTGTGATAACCTTGAGAACTGGTGTATCATGTGCTATTTCATATGATTTTTTCCATCTAATACCAGGATTTAGAATATTGATTAATATGTATTTGTTTCACAATGTGAACCTTTTTAGCCTATTTGTAAAACAAAAGTTTCAAGTAAGAAAGTTTCACATTATGAACCGAATATGCGATGCAAACATATTGTGAAACAAATGTATGTCCATTAATACATTAAATGCTAGCTTTAGATGGAAAAATATCATATGAAACAATACTTTGAGGTAAAATTCTCACGGTTATCACAATATATGAAGTTCTTATTTGATTATGCTTATATATAGGGCGTAGGGTGCCTATGTATTTGTATATATATGGAACATGTTTGAAATACAACTTACCCTACTTGTACAACCAATACAACCCTAATCTAAGCGCCCATTTTACTTTATTTTTTCAGTTTTTCTAATAGATAATTTTAAACTACCTTTTCCACCTCATCATATGTTGACCGTAGATGAACTAATTGACGGTTCAGATAAGATTGCATTGGTTGTATAAATGGATAATCTGTAAAATAGGCCACCTCTCTCTCTCTCTATATATATATGTATGTGTGTGTGTGTATAGGGGCATGTTAAAACGAGAAGCTAAACATTTTGCAAGAAGACAAAAAATTCCAATATCATATGTGATCACATGCATGATACACAAGTTTAATCATATATGATTTAAATACATGTTGCATTGACAACACATAGACGCTTAATCATATATGATTAAACACACTCAAAAGAGTGTAATCAGATATGATATTGAAACTTCTCGCATGATCCATTCTCTATGTATATATGTATATGTTTAAACATGAGTGTGGTTGCAAAACTATCTTTATCTTATATGTTAAAAGTTTCAGACCGTGTTATAATAGCAATACATTGAATAGTTGCGTACCTAGCGTGTATAAAGTCAGGAAACCGTTATGACGAAACACAGAGGGGACGGATGCTGGTGATCTTTGGGCACAGTTAAGCTGCACAGCCATCTCTGCAACTGTTTGGGCTCCTTGAACCTAAAATTAAGAAAACTAGCGGTTATCGAGCTTTGGGGTCCAGTGACATCTCGATTTCTTCAAAAGATCTCCCTTTGGTTTCAACTAAGAAAGATAAAGAGAAGAATGCCGCCAATAACGAAACTATGCCAAAACTTGCATAAACTGGTGCAACACCAAAGTTCTTCATCAGCTCGAGGAAGAATAGGCCGACCAAGAAATTACACACCTGAATTAAAATGCCATACAGAATTATGGTTTAATCTCAAATAAATACTCCCTCCATCCCAAAATAAATGCATTCGTTTTTTTACTTTKGCAAAGTTTCAATCTGATATTAGCTTTTTAATACTAGCAAAATATTGACAGCATTGATCTTGGTGCATTCAATTTCTCTATTTTGTTATGAGGGTATTTTAGATATTTTGGTGTGAAGTTCTGCAAAAGTTTGACTTACTAATTTTCTATTACTGATATCTTCTTACTAATTTCAGGTAGAGGTCAAAAAAGCGTATATTTTACCCCCAGACCCACCTCCGGTTGAGATGTATTGGGATCGTTTGGTTTGGTTTCCTTATGTGAGAAGGACCAGAACCATCAAATCTCATCAGCTGACCAAAGTTCAGATTCATCTAATATCAGAGGTGAACTAAGGGGCCGTTTACTAAACGCTTACCGGTAAGGTCTTACTGGGTCATTTACCTTACCGGATAAACATGACGAGGGCTGAGAATCTTACGCGGTAAGGGCAATGATAATGATGGAGAGTCTTACCCAGTAAGTGAGGGTGACAACTCTTACCCAATAGGCGCTTATCGGGTAAATTGTTGCATACAATACCGTTTAATGACTACAAGCTTATACGATAAAGTAAATTCGAGTGTTGACTCTTACCGATAAAGTAAGCGTTCGGGTAGTAAACGGCCCCTAAATCTTTAGTTACCTAGTAATCTAGAGAAAAGTTTAAGATCCGTACCCAGTGAACAGAAAAACTGAAGCTCATGATCTTCCCACGTGTCCTGCTGCTGCTAAGCTCGGGTATAATAAGACCCGTTACTGGACCAGCTCCAATTGCATAAGTCAATATGTACCTTACATAATGTATAACATTAGAGACGCCATGATATTATTCCCAAATAGAGGCAGATCCATTGGAGAACCGTTTGTTTTTTTCAAAACCGTGAGAAACAAATATTCATGATGAACATCATCATGAATATTTGGTTCCTCGGTTCTCAAAATATTTATGGTTCCCTAAATGACTTTCTCCTTCCCAAATGAACTGTATATTAGGACGGGTATCTGAGGGGAAGGATCGGATGATACACAAAACTTAAAGGATCCCGTGTGCAAATAAACTACCAAAAGCAGCAGCCAACGGAATCTGATGGAACTGGAATGGTCAATTTTGTTGACTAAATTCCATTCCAAAGATTGGTTTACCCATGGATTTCATACATTTGGAACTGGAATGGATTTGAATTCCATACATTCCACCAACCATGGATTTCATCATTCCATCATAGTGGGGAAGGAATTGAATTCCATTCCATCCAATTTTCTTAAAATGACAAAACTACCCCCATAATTTCATTTCAATTCCTCTTGAACCAAACAAACAAATTCCGATTCATTTGACAGATTACATTCCATTTCCGGTCAACCAAACACTTAATCATAACCTTATAACATTTCATTCCGATTCCTTCCAGATTCCAATTACTTTCCATTCCTACAAAAAAACATTTTGCGAACCAAACCCCCTAAAGCTATTATGTGGAATTGGGAGAAATGGGTTGAAATTCGCGTATGGATAGCTGAATGCTTGACCAATGTACGCGAGTAAGTGATGACTGATACAAAATGAACAGATAGGGAAAAAATGGGTAATCGGCTGTTGGGAATATAATAGATGGAACAGAATTTACAGGTAAAAGAAGAAGACTTAC